AATAAACAAATCATGATAAATAACAAAAATTAAATATAGGACCTGGAACAAATCTTTACAGTGCCATCATTGTGACCGGAATGTGTTGAAAGAGATGGTTTCTTGGTTTATGACCAGGGACTGGAAATGACATATAAAATACTGCAGCCAACCACAGATTTAATAACAGAATGAACATACAGAAACAGGAAAAAAAATAACAAATCTCTGCTCAGGTAATCCCTGTTTGGTTGCCAGATATGGTCCTGAAAAAATAATAGGAATTCCTTAGCTAAAAATATTTATTGCCATTTCTCCTATTATGGAGTAGTCGATATATCTTCCAGATTTTGATTTAGACAGTTTCCTTCCAGTCCAAGTGCTCCCTGAATGTACCGGCACACTGCCAGGCCTGGGGGGCTCTGGAACCCTGGGGCTGTTCCCACACTGTGTTTTGGGAAGGACCCAAGGTGAACTGGAAGCACTTTTGTTCCTATAGTCTTGAGTATACACCTGCAGAGCAACTTCAGTAGATACTGCTTCAGGGTGAGCAAAAAACAGTAATGCTGCCTTACATCTTTTAACTGTTCATGAGCTTATTGGGCTGAATTCAGAGCATTTGAATTTGCTCGTTACCAAGAGACTGTAGAGCACATAAATAATAATTATATTATACATTTATAAATAAGAGCTTAAAAAATAATTATTTCTATTATAAGCAGCCCTGAATTCAGCTACCATGACTGCAAAAGTAAAGAAAGCAGGCTTCTGAACATGATTATAATTGCTGCAATTGCCATGAGTTAAGCAGGTACTGAGTATCTCCTGCTGCCATGAATGCCCATGAACATTGTCACATTGCAAAAGGCATTCTTTTTAATTCCATTTGTGATGGAGAACCAGACAGGAAGCATCGTCCCAATAATGTCAGCAAGGGTGCAAGTGGAACCAGGGTTTCTTGCTGGCCTGCAGGAACTAATTCTTCTGGTAAGGAGGTGGATACAGTCTACAACATTCTTTGCATGGCAAACTATAATTAGAGCTTACGTTTTATTTTATCATTTTCTGAATGACAAACCCCAGATGAGGAATCTGCATGCACATATATGCAAGTTTATTTGTCTGTTTGTTTATATGTTTTCTTGATATCTTTCTATTGTACACATATGAACATGCTTATCTGGTATGTGTGCAGGTGTGTGCTTTTGCTGGCTGAAGGACGGGTATGCCAGCAGGTCACTAAAAATTAAGCATACTTTAAAAGGTTAAATGTTGAATGAGCACTGTGAAGGGAACCGAGGATCCGTACAACTTTCTCTTGGACTGCAGGAATGGTTTCCTTGGTTCCACTTGAACCTGTGTCACTAAAACCGAGCAATGAAAAGATTGCACCGTGTTTCCCTCTGCATGCAAGAAATAAATAGTTCCAAGGGCCAGATACTGCTGTTGGCAGTATAAAGCAATAAAGGCGGACAGAACCAGGAGAAAGAAAAAACATTTCTTATTCATCCAAGTAGAGCCACTCTAACAAGACATGACAATCCACTTTCCCACACTCAGAGGTACTGGAATTGACAATAGTTCTGTAGCGAGGGACATAAACTCTGGAACAGACCATATGTTCTTTTCACTGTGTTCCCATTATCATCAAAATCTGAGACTGATCCTTCTGACCACTGACCACTAACCAGCACAAAACCAGACAGATTTCCATTTCTCTATTATTCTATATGTTGCACATATCTTTATATTATTGCCTTCTCTAGTTAAACTAGTGTTTTTTTTCTGCCTGCAGCATTTCATGTCAGAGTTGTCCAAATCACAACACAGCACAAAAAAAACCCCAGACCCTAAATCTAAATAAGAATAATGAAATCTCATAATTAACATTTCTACCAGAGACTGAGAATGGCATCTATGCATTAGATGCAATAAACACAAATACATCAGAATAATCTCCAGTCTCGTATTAAGATGCGAATCGTCTATTTATTACTTTGAGTATAAATGTTCCATTGCTATTTGCACAATGATTAAGAGTAGTTTTCAGGAAATAAATCTGTTTCTTAATAGTGCAAAGAATGAGAAGGATAGAGAATAAATGGGAGTTTAAAGGGATGCTAAAGTTCTCCCATGAGCTTGGATGAGATTTATGTGCAATGTGAATAAAAAATGTATGACAGCACAGGATTCACTTTGTTGTTGGTTCCTATTCCATTTGTCTAGCCTAACTGTATTCTTTGCCTCTCAGACATGTACTGAGTCTGGCATTGTTGAGCAAGCGAGGGAATAAACTGCCAGTCAGCAGCTATTCGTGGCAGCTTAACCTCATCCGATCTCATCAAACCCAACACTGTAGAACAAGACCAGTGCCGTGAGACTCAGAGTAGAAGCATAAATAGCTACCTGCAATGCTTTTTCTGCTAGGAAGAGGCATTCCAGGCTCACTATGGAATTGCCCTATTATTGCTATGCCTTTCCCATTGTTGAATTAACACATAGGTTCTTTAGTTACATATCAGCTTTCATACAGTGTCAACAGCTTTGTAACAGTGCAAGCAAGAGCTGATGGGATTGTGATGTACGCCAGATAAACCTCCCTGTGCAGCTTCAGAGCTATGAGGCTTCATGCTCAATGCTTCATGACCATTCCCTGTCCACTTCCATTAGGGCTTCCAGAAAAATCTCGCTACTGCTGCCTAGCTGAAAATATGCAAAGGTCCAAATCTCAGCCTACTGACACCTCATTAGTTAGATGGACAACTTTTGGATGGCTGGGAGATAGCACCAAAAATACTGAGCCGTCAAAATAGAGGATTCCACTGCTGCTGGTTTTCTGCCTCATTTCCAGAGGGCCTCCTCTCCACGGTGTTTCTATCACTTGTCAGTCCTCCTCCTCTTCCCCTTCCCTAGTAACTTCTGATCACGTTGGCCCTCTTCAGCTAAGCATGAAAGAGGGGCAGAAGCCGTCAGCATACTGCAGCCTAACACTTCTTTTTATCTCGTGAGAACAGGGAAGGCACAGAGGCAGAGACACTCTCTGTTACTGCTGTTGTAGAGTGGAAGGCTGCAGAGCCGCCTCGGCGAGATTATTACAAATCAGAGAAGCCACATGGGAGAGTGCTGCAGTAAATCAGCTCGGGTATGATCTACTGTTCAAGGAACTATTTGTGGAAGAAAAATTATATTTGTTAGCTGCAGAATTACGCCAGCTGTTGACTCAGCCATTAGGCTGGTGGCATTCCCTGGCAGTGCTGTGCCTCCTTCTCTACGTTTGCCCTTCCACTGTGCTGCTCCCCACTGCACCAGGACCCTGGTATTGCACAGAGCATCCCGTGGTTGCCGCGTGCTCACTGAAAATGCTCATAGCACTCTGTTGTGGTTTGCATAACTGCCATGTGTCAGAAGGCACATCTGACAAAAACATTTTGTCCTTGAGGCAACAATAAACTAAATGAACAGTTAAATATAAGAGATCAAGTAGTTTCCAGACACTGAGACATGTAACAGTATCATAGGAGAGTCCAAAATGAGATTCTCAAACCATACACATCCTCGCTTGTTGAATGCAGCTCCTGTACCCAAAACATTTTAACTGCCCAAATCATCACAGGGCTTCCATGGGGACAATCTACGTCATGGCACAAGGAGAGAAGACAACACAGGCTGCAGCAGCCAGCTTTGCCAGACTGCTGTGAAGCACAGAGACTCATCCAGCCCTTTCCTGTCCTCAGCATAGCAAAAGAAGGCCCATCACCTCCCCAGCCCCAGGACGCACCTCCGGCAGTTCGAATTTCAGCAGCCCAAAGGTCCAAGAGCTCAGTTATCAGGGGCTCAGTGGCACATAAGTGTACCGTAGCACACAGATGCTGCCCATGTAGGGCTATGCATTGCTGTTCTGCCATCAGTGCTTCCAGCAGTGGTCCCACCAGCATTGAGATAGTCTTGACCAAGTCTTGCAGGAGTAAAGAATAACTAGATCTTTTCCCCGAGGTTCAAAAAAGTTCTAGACCTGTACTGCTAAATGTTCTTCTTCCTTTGACCACACAATAACGTACAACATGACCTGGGAGCTGGATTCCCTGCTCACCCTCCCAGATCAGCCAGGTATATACGTGCTGGTATGCTCACTGTGTCCTGCAGGTGAACTCACCTCGCAGCAAGGAGATGCCTCCCAGCTTCCAAGAAGAGTCTGGACACACTTCAGCAAAGTATGCCACTCACACAGCCATCGCGCAGTGGGAGCTGAATCCCTCCTGGAGCCTGCCAGCAGTCTGCAATGGGCAATGCTGCACAGCCATTCATTCAAAATGTCAGCATTGCAGAAGGAGCAGTGGCAGCACTGCAGTAATGCAGTGACGTTTTGTACCCTCTGGCAAACTTGATACATAAATAAATGAGTTTCTATCTAAATTCCATTGTGTGCAGATTTGTACCAAAGAATTGTTGTGATGTGCATCATTATGTCTCATTATGTGATTGCAAGTAACCTTTTGTGTAGCAGACACAATCCACGTAACATGCTGTGTGACCAGTTTACAAAACCAGGCTCCTTCAGAAGGGCAAGTAATTAATCATTATTCAGCAGTAGCACTCAGCACTCCACTTCTTGCTGGCAGGAGTGTATTACTGAGGGCATGCCTAGCTGCTACAATACATTATTCATGCAACAGAAAACTACAGTTGTCTGTGGTGTTGTTACAATAAATGGTTAAAAGAAAACAAGAAACAGTTAATTTTCAAGTATGAGCCTGGTGTTGGGTATGTATTTTGGTTTTTTTATTAATTTACTGCCAACACACTGCACGAATAAGCATAGGCCTGAGTTACAAACGCTGTGGGAAAGAATTAGTGTAAGGCACCAATCTGCGTTTTTCATAATGCCAAAGTCACTAATCCGAGGACAGCGAGAGGATCTCTTGAATGCCTTCCCTTGAAGGTATAGCGCAGTAACTTTATGGCCATAGTAATTTTATTACTTTATCAAGCACTAATTTAATAGAGAACGAAATGTACATTGTCAAAAATAAATTGTAGCAAATATTTTATTTGATTAAGAGTCGTAATAGTAATTTGCGTATTGTGCTCGTTAGGACATGGATTTTTTCATGCTTACTTTAGGCTTTCATTTAAACCACATCTATCATGACGCAAATTAGGCCCACGTGATTATTTGCACTTGATCACTGTCCACTATTTACACAAAGTGGGGTTAATGCAAGAGGCTAACGAGGGTTGCAGTTCAATCTGATTTTGCAGAGGCTGGAATTGTACCCCAGCTTCCCGCTCAGCTGCCTTTATCATGGTGCTTTGCAGTTCCTCTCTATCTGCAAATACAGTAAGAAAAAAGTCAATATAAGTAAATACCTCTATTGTAAAATCATAATCTCATAGAATCACCAGGGTTGGAAAAGACCTCCAAGATCACCCAGTCCAACCGCCCACCTATCACTGATAGTTGTCATTAGACCATGTCCTTCAACACAAGATCTAAATGTTCCGTGAACACCTCCAGGGTCAGTGACTCCACCACCTCCTTGGGCAGCCCATTCCAGTGCCTGACCACTCTTTAGGAAAAGTACTATTTCCTAACATCCAGCCTGAATCTCCCCTAGGGCAACTTGAGGCCATTCATTCTCTCTGTCCTATCACTGGTTACACAAGAGAAGAGGCTGACCCCCAGCCCATTTCGACCTCCCTTCAAGTAGTAGTCCCTTCAAGTAGATATAGTACCTCACCATCTACTCCTTCCAAAAAGATGCATTTCATATCAGGACTCACCATTTACAAAAGCTATGGGTATAACTATTCCAAAGAGATGAGTGAATTTCTTTTTAATAGCTTTTCTTTGTATGGGAGTCTGATTTCCCCAGCAACACAAATTTGGAAGGAGAGCTCAATGTATCGTGTCCAGTCACGTCACAAAGGTTCTTAACATGTTTTAAACATGGAATCAGAAATTCCTTTGTAAAACTGTGATTACAAAAGCATGTTGAAGGGAAGTTGCAATCATTCAAAGGACACTGAAAGGCTAAACATGCATTGAAAAACGCGTTCCCAGCTTCAAAAGAAATATTTGTAACTTCACCAAAATTTGTCCCTGAAAAAAATAATCCTTCATTTTGCTTTGGGTTCACAGACTGCTCTGATTTTGGGTTGAAGTTGTTCATCTGAAAAGGCATCAGTCTAGGAATAAACACTGATGAAATGCAACATTTACAATTTATATATGTATTCCATTCAGATGCGGTTTCCATAATTGCATTATGCAGACAGCAGCCACTCAGAAGAGCATATCGTGCATAAAAAGATTCATTTGGTTTCTCAGCAGAATAGTACGAGGAGAGCAAAGCGACTGGAAGCGCAGAGGATATATCCACCTCCTCTTGCTGAGGATTTCATTTTCTTTGCTGAGAAGCCTGGTTTCCTTTGTCCCGCAGTATGAACAAATACACCAGTTCCCAGTGAAGACAGGCTGCCCTGTGTCTATCAATAGAATCTATATAGAATCTTTTCCCTTAGGGATTAATTCAACTTTTGATTCAATCTTCCTGAGCTTTAAATTATGATGTTACAAACCTCCAAGGAACTGCTGTACTATTTGTGACCTTCTTTATTACTTTCTGCTGTTTGATAAAGTAGAGAAAATTGATTTATAGTTTAGTTTGCTTGTGAACATGGAATATCAATGGTGACAGTAGGATTTATGAAAAAGAGAGGGAAGTTGTATTGGTTAAAGTTTAATATAACAGTTTATTAATTAATGGCAAAGAACAATAGAATAACTGCATGTTAATCTTAATGAGATTCCGGAAGAGGAATGCTAGCATTGTATTTACATTTTGCAAAAGTTTCTCTCCAAGAAAGAACTTTCTATAGCTTCTGTTTTCCTTTCCTTCACCCTGATTATGACCTGTTGGGTGTTCTTGTGTTTCCTGTAAGCATTAAAGGTTAAAGGTGGTACACAAGGCCGAAGTTTTCCAAATAGAGCCTAAAATTAGGCGTTGGTGTCTGTTTTTGGATTCTTAGGCCCCAATCCAGGAATCTATTTTTATTCAAAGCAGCAGGGCACTTGACTTCAATGGATCTAAAAACGCTCGTGCTTAAGTGCTTTGCTGAATCAGGATGGACTTAAGCACAAATGTAAATGCCGTGCTGAATTGGGGCTCTAAATATGTGGCTTGATTTTAAAAGTGCTGAGAGCCGGCAGGTCTAATTGGAGTCAATGGGAGCTGCAAGATGCTCAGCATTTTTGAAAATCAGGCCACTCACTGAGGTGCCTGAGGTTGATTTCAGGTGCTCAGCTCAGAGCATTTGCTATAGGAGAAAATGTTAACCCAGGAGAACAGGCAATGGAAGGCATGATTTCTTAATAAATGAGATCTTGATTTTATATTAAAAAGAAAAAAAAAGAAAGTAATAATATAAAATGAGGAATGAGGCAAAAAGTAATACTTTTCTGGAAATCTGATTGAGTAGTTTTTGTAAGCATCAAAGCGCTTTGCAAAAATAGGAAATGAATAAACCAATCAAATTAAAAATCCAAGAAATAGCGGGTTGAATTCATGCCTTTTGGAACTCCAGCAACACTGATGAAGTACATCAGGGATGGATTTTATCCTGCTACACTTTGAGTATTAATTTGATCCGAAACAGCAAGGCAACAATGCAAATCACATGCAGAAAAGAACATCACTCTGATAGCACTGTGAGCACCAAGCACAACATTTCAGATCCATAAATGGTGAAAATGCCAGCTGTAAGCATCACAGTTCCCACTTTGCACTCTCTGCTGCAGGAATCAGTGAACCTTGAGGAGGAGATGGAAGAGAGGTTTACTCCTCCTGCAGACTCAAAGGAAGAGGTAGTGAAGAGAGAGTGGGGGAAAAAACACAATGTATGGGAAGGGAAGACACAGCTAGAGGAGTACTGAGGGTCAGCAGCAAAGCACGGCAGGGAAGGCCTGCTCTCCCCACAGACACATTGCCCCAAGCTTCCGTCCAATCAAGGGGCTGCCTGCATCAAGATCATACTTGGCAATCAGTGGCACGCTTTGCTCTAGAGCACAAGAAAACCTCTCAGCTAAAATTCACCAGCTGTGCTAGGCTGTGTCTCAGATCAGGGCGCAGGTACCTTTCTGGGTCGTGCTGTCAAAGGTGAGCGTACTCATGGCCAAAGCGTGGCACGGTCAGCTCTGTCATACTAGTTTGTATGACAGCCTATGGGATAGGCCTCCAGTGGTATTTTGGCTACCTGTGAACAAACCTGCCCAAACCACACCACACCAATTACCTCTCCTTTTCATCCATGCTTAGCTGAAAGGGCTGAGTACTAACTGCACTTCTCCTCAGAGTTGTTGCCATCCCAGTGACAATGCTGGTATGGAAGGCCACCATGCTGCACGCTGTATTGTCCAGGAAGGATTCAACAAAGCCTGGCTTGTCATCCCATCTACTTGTCCGATCCTCCTAGCCTGTCTGAGAAAGGTGATGTCAATTGAATGTCAGGATGTTAACATTTCCTAGCAAAGGTATTTGTCATCTCAGAATGGAAGATACCAACCATTTTGGATTTGTCAGTCCCTCCTTCCTGCGCAATCTGGATCCAAGCACGGCCTTTCATTACCTACCCTCTCATAACTTGAGCCAGTAACTCATAACTCTCCACTGAGCATTTTTCAAAAGTCTTCCCAGAAGATTTATGTTAGCCCTTCAACAGCCTCAAGCATTTATGGGGAAAAAAGCAGGTATCACCTTTCTGCTACTCAATTATTAAAACAAGTGGTTCTGCCCCCTGCCAGAGGTGCAGGTGTGATCTGGGCTATTTGAAATCAGCTGTGACCATTAAGAAGAGCAATAGAAAACCCAGTCAATGACCAGCTGGGTGAGAAATCTGTCACTTTTGATAAAAAAGAGAAACAGAAGTGGATTTGAAACATTCGTTTCCCTTTATTTGCTCAGTGAGGCTGATGTGTACTGCACATTAAAAAAAAAAAAAATCACAGGAATTTTCATACAATGAATTAAACCACAAAAGTACATGTAGAATTGGCAGGTGGAAAACAGCCCAGTGTGGGCTTAACTAGTAGCTCGCTTTCCCTGTTCAGCATAGTCCAACCAATAACTTTACATGTTCACCTACTGCACAAATTTTACTGTAGCTCCATCAGGTCAGTGGTTCACATGATTGAAAATGTCTGTCACATAGGTACAAATTTAGAATCATCACATTATATTACATGGCTATTCTAGGTCATTTATAGATCAGATCTTATACTACAGTGATTGAAGTTCTCATTACAGCCATCAAAAAGGACACATAATCATTACCTACTGTAAGCTTATATCTAAAGGGATAAGAAGGTATGTATTTTGTTGGTGGGTTGTTTTTTTTTTTTTTTTTTTTTTTTCCAGCTGACCCAAGTATTACACCCCAGAGGCACAAACTTTCTCCTCAGTGCTGCTTTTGGTGATGGCAGCCCAACTGATTTTCAGAGCAGTTCAGTATGGATATTTTTTCCACAATTTTAGGCTCCCTCTGTTTGGATTTGGATCATTTTACCTTATGGAGGAATTACTTTGTTATAGCTCCAGAAAAGACCATAGTTTCTAAGTAGCAATTCCGTTACCTGTATTGCAGATGTGGTACTTACCACAGCGTGAAAGCAACAGTACAATCTTCATCTCAAAGACATACAGAGCTATGCTGCAATTTGCCGCCAGTGACAATGTGGCACATGTGCTAATTTGAAATGTTCTTGGGAGGGGGAAAAAAAGGAAGAACGGAGTTTATATTTTGATGGGTTATTTACTACAGTGTCTACAAAGGATACAAATAGCTTTATTCAGCAATCCTAGCTCTACATTAATTTCTATATGTAATCTGTAAATCCACAGAGGAAAGCCATCTTCAAGATAAGAATGCTTGCCAGGCCAGTGAAAAAAAAAAAAAAAAGATCTATGACTTTTTGCCTGCTTGGCAAAAAAATAACCAACGCTCCCCTCTTCCCTCTCCCCCCCAAAACAAATCCACACCAATTTATTCATGTCAGCAATATAGGGCAAAAGAAAATGTATTTAAAATGTAATCACATAAATTCAAAGGCAAAATAGGTAATGCATCTGGTCCTTGAACACATAATATAATCTACTAAATATTGATTTCTTAAAAATAATTTATTGCTTTTAATATTTTTCTTTACAACAGAAGATACTCAAAATCCAGAAAGGAAAACTGTAAACTTTTAGTTTGGCATTCACACAAAGTTAAAATACCTGCATTTTTAACCTACAGAGCAACAACGAGAATTATGCAGATTAAAGAATGTTACGGTTGTAACACAGAACCTCTGAAAAAGTTCTTTTTTTTTTTTTTTTCCTTTTTCTTTTTTATTTTTATTGCTACCTATCTACTGAGAAATAAGAAGCCGAAAAATCAAGCAAGCATCCAACAGGACAGATAGTGGAATCTCTCAGAACACAATATGCTGGTGATAAAATGAATGCAGCCATCAAAATCAACTGCACTGGCATGGGGCGGAATCAGTTTTCTAAGATTGGGAGTGGGAAAGGAGATTAAATAGTTAGGTGTGCCATACTTTTAAGAGGAGTCATGAATGCCAAACAGTAATAGAATACCAAATCTATACATTCGCAAGCAAATTTGAAACTTTGCTGATTCAGTCTAGAGACTCCAAGATCAGATGAAATTCTGATGCTCAGAATAGTAGTAGCTAACGGTTGTGTTTTTTTTCCTTTCACTTTCCTGAAGTTTCTATTTAATTTAGCAGAAGCAATGTCATCAGCAACAATGTCATGGGCACATCTGAGGCCATGCTAGTGCATAGTAAAAAAAAGAAAAAAAAGAAAAAAAAAACCAACAAAAACCACTGCTTCTGCAAAAGCTGAATTTTCAGACGAAGCACTTACTCCAAACTGACAATCATCATGCATCCTAGGTATAAAATTTCCACTGGCCTTTTTCTTATTTTAGTCATCTCATAATTTATAATAAATAGGATAATCATAACTGATAAATATGTCTCTTTAGTAAACAAAGGAATGAAGGATCAGTATTTATACAGGATGCATAACTGTAAAAAATATAGATAAATACCATCATTAAACTCTGCCAATGAAAAGGTTACTGGCTTCGAGAACAGTGTTTAGACACAGAATTACTGTAAAAATCATACTGTACTGAGTACCTCAGCGTATTTTTATCAAATTAAAATCACAAAAATTAAAACAAAATAGCATTTTAAAAAGATTTCTGATCTCTAGTTCCAAAACTACTGTTGATACATAAAATAAAAACATTTCTTAATGATTACCCATTTGAGAGACTTTACATAAAATTATGGTATCTCCTAGAAAAATTTAGATGAGAAAATTTCATTCCCCTAACAAATTCAGTGTATAAAACTGCAAAAAAAAACCAAGCAATGAGAAAAATGTGGAAAAATACTGCAGAAGTGGTTAACACCTTTTGGGCTAGGATCATCGTTGACAAAATTCTTACATAAGCTCACCAAGGAAGGGATGAATGTGTGTAAAGCGTTTTTGCAGTCAGACACACACACACTCGCACGTCCTCACCCACACGCTTTTCTCTTTTTTTTTTTTTACAATCAAATATATATAAGCATAAGTTCAGCTTTCTACATATGTTAGTGTACAATAATTGTTTCACCTCATATAATTACATTTGAGTATTCTTGATTAAGAAAAATTCAGCAGTTTTTGAAAAGAAGGCTGCATTTACAGTGCATAGCTGTAACAAAAAAAAAAAAACATTGTCATACAGTATGTACATAAATAAAAATACTCCATTTAACATCTGTAAATACTCAACTACTTTAGAGAACGTAGCAAATAAACTATCTGCGCTCACACCCAGATAGTTCTATCCAACTCTCATTAATAATGTAACACCACGTCCGCTCATTAGAATAAATCGCTGAACAAGCTGCACATTTGACCATTAACACGGCTTTGAAAACTTTGCTGTGGAAGATCAACATTGTAGACATTTACATGGGTGTCAGAATTAAAAGACGAAACTTCAAAATGTTAGGGAAGCTTTAGCCTTTCATTTTCTCTTCTGCAAGGAAAAAAAAAAAAAAAAGAAAAAAAAAAGAAAGATCTTAAAACTAAAACACATTGCAGGCTTGTGGGACCTGCATTTTCTTCTGGATTGTCATTTATCACTCTGTTGTGAGAAGAAGCTTCATTTAAAAAAAAAATGCAGTGTCTGATTCCCAGACATCAGCAGCCATAGTTCGCAAATTTGTTCTTTTTCCGCTTTGCTTTTGTTCTCGTTTTGTTAAAATGCACTATGTACACATTTTGAAGTTCTACGTTGTAAGTGTATCTCTGTGGAACTGCTGCCATGACATGTGGTTTGCCCTCGGTCGCGAGAGGACCGCAGGCTGCCCCGCCACCGGTCACCCGCGAAAGCAAAGCTGACACCCATGGACACGCGTGTGCTTGCTGGAAAGCCATTCTGCCTCCTCCCTCCTCGAGCAGCTGTGTTCATGTAAACCATGGTTTTGAACAGAGAGTGTAAAGTAGGAGAAATTCCTAAGTATGACTTTTAATTGTCCATTATTGAAGGACGTGATGTCCGTGAGGTATTCGCCATCCCTCCGTTTTCCTCGGGTGTGATACATGTTACCTGCGCAGGCTCCGCTGTGCCTCTTTAAGTAAACTATCAAAATCCATGGAGTCATACTTGCTTTTAGTGGAAGCAGGATCAAAATCATCTGAGTTTGAATCTGAAACCCAAAGAGATGCAAGGTCAGTTAACAGGCACAAGGCGCTGGCGAGCGCTTCCATCTTTTTCTTCGTACAGCAGTATGAACAAACACTACAAAAATCACCCATCCATTCGGCATGGATGGAGCTTTCTGTAAGAACAAGACTTTAAAAAATGCACAGTATGTCTTCAGCAGAATGAGTGAACTGTAAAATGAATGTGTACATATTGAACCGGTAAACTCCAAAGAGCTTCTCCAAAGACTGAGCACTGCCACTCTAAGACTCTAAGTAGTCATAGAATGGCTGAGGTTGGAAGGGATGTCTCAAGATCACCCGGTTCACATCTAGTCCAGGTAACCATCACAGGTGTTCTACCAAAAAACGCATTACGGTTCTGCAGCTGTGTTTTGTAAGATCTAATATCCCAAACTTACTTTTCCTGAGATAGGTGATAGCAGCTGACTGTGCTGAAAGCCACCACAGCCTGCAGAGAGGCATGCAGGAGACACAGCCATGGGCTGACCTGCCGTAGGGCCTGATGCACCACACCTCCTTCAATCTCTCTTATTTTCTGCTCTGACTGTTTTGGTTTGCTTGTTCAGAACATGAGCAACTCAGAGCAGAGTCTCCATGCTGCTGCACAAGCAACCTCAGGTGGCATCCTCAGCTCTTTGTAACATAAGTGTAACAGCAAGAACAGCAGTTCACCATCTGTGGAATGTGTGTTTTAGATGGGATATGTAATACCTGCTCCAGTGCTAATAGTTGCCAGGACATCATTCTGTTCCTAGAGCAAAGGAGGGATCACTTTGTGCAATACAGTTCCACTGCAGCAATTACTGACTCGACTGCAAGAATTGTATTTCCTTTTGGAGTCATCCCTGTTCAGCACTGGCTCTCCCTGGTTTCTATGTCACAGAGAGTGCCATTTTCTTGCCATTTCTTCTGTTGAATTAATCAGAACTCCCCATTTACCTCTATAAGACATACTGTGAATTAAATGTTCATTACAAGTCCTGTTA